AGTTTTTAAATATATAGACATTAATAGGGCTTTGTGTAAATAAATAAAAGAAACATTTGCAGTGTCCGATTTAAAGGACATCAGTACTTATATTAATGATGTGGTGAGAATTGAAAAAAAAATAAAATAAATGTTAATTTGTCTTATACAAGTTGTTATAAACATTTATAATGTTTATAATGTCGGCAGTCTTGTTAACTCTTGATCAATTTTATCCAAGATCGATTTTGACGAAAGCGTTAAAGAAGGTCGGATTGTTGTCAAACTGCATGTTGATGAGGTTTATTTAAAACTTAACGGTCTCTTATTTTATATATAATAATGAAAAACGTTTATTAATTGCCAATTGCATAACTAAAGGAACTTGATCACATGAAAAGAACATACGACGGTTTGGATGACTTTTTGGTAATAAAGCTGTAGATTAAGTAGGAATTGGATCAGTTGGAAAATCTCTTCCCAAGAATTATTAGATTACCCGGATAAACTTTTATACATTCAGATAGTTCATATAATAACAATTTCAATCCTTAAAATTAATTTTCGTCTATACGACTAAATATATTTTTCGTGTTTTAGTTTGAAGTTGCACGTGAAATTAGCTCATCGATTCCCACTGAGTTTGCATCCACTCTGAACGTAATTTATTTCCCCCAATTGGGATACCTTGTCACTGTCCCGTTGAAACCAGAATGGAGGGATGAAGAGGATTTTAAAATCGATGGATTGTACTATCAAGTATGTTCGTTTTTTTATCTAAACATTTTAAGTGCTTATATGCCGATTTACGATTGATACAAAATCCCTTCGGCCGTTCTTTTAAAATACGTAATTAGTTCAGTACTGCTACTACTGTTTACTATAAAAATGACAGGATGAGAGGTACTATAATAATGTTACTAAATTGGATTGTGTTATCGTGCTGTGAGTGAAAGTACGTGACTTTTGTACTTATAACATAATAGAACTTGACGAATACTTAGGTGATATACATGGTCTTATTGTTGGTATGAATGTATGAATTGTTTCTTGAATTTCAATAAAAAAATTCTTGCTTACATATGTGAATATTCTTTATTTCACAGACCGTGAAATTGAAATAATGCAGAAACTTCAAGACCGCATATTAGAATATGTTCCATTATTTTTAAATTCTAGTGCTGTTTGTGCTGAGCTTGATTGGTAACAAATATTAATTATATATGCTCAACAGATTTTAACATGAATTTTGATACTATATTATTTAAAATAAAGTATATTGTCTTTTGCGGAATCTGCAAGACGTTATGGATATAATCGACCTATTGTAACAGATGAAAATATTTTAATAATTGAAAAAGGAAGGTAAAGAATGGATATGTTTAAATATTATACGTAACCTTAAATCTAAAATTGGAAGCCTTTCTAAAATTTTAAAATTGATGGATTTTTCTGATTTCTTAAAATGTAAGACACCCATTGCAAGAACTTTGCATTAATGTTTTTGTTGCTAATGACACGAGACTTGTTGGAGGTAGAGGGACATTGGACGACGATGAGATGTACGAGGACAGCCTTACTGATGAAAAAGACACTTATAATAGTGTCATGTTATTAAGTGGTGCTAATTATTCAGGAAAAAGTGTATATTTGAAGCAAGTCGCATTGATCGTTTATATGACGCATATTGGAAGGTAAACATTGTTCCTTCATTAATGATACTGCATATTAAAAAATAAACTGCAAAAATGTAAATTGTTTCATTATTTTCAAGCTTTGTGCCAGCAGAGTCGGCTACTATCGGCCTAACTGATAAAATTTTTACTCGTATTCAGACTAAAGAGACAGTTTCAAAGGTAATAAAAATAATAATAATGATCATTTTAACTAGCATTCCAATAATTAATAATAAAATATATATATAAAAATATATAAAAGATTCAAAGTGCATTCATGATTGATCTTCAACAAATATCGATTGCACTTCGTAATTCGACATCAAGGTCTTTGTTGATCTTCGACGAATTCGGGAAAGGAACTGGCTCTACAGGTGGGTCAACGTAATACTACATAACTGCCTATAATTAAATTAGTTTTGAATTAATAGTTAAAAGTTAAATAGATGGTGCTGGTTTATTTTGTGGTGTCATGGAGCATCTATTAAAGCGCAGTAAAGATTGCCCGAAAGTAATTGCAGCAACACATTTTCATGGTTTTTATCATTTCAAATACACCTCTGTATTTACAACTACCCAAGGGCTCTTTGAAAATAATATTTGAATTTTTTGCATTACAAGTAATTTGCACATTTTCAGAGTGTTCTTGCGGTAGTTATATTCACAGTCAATAATATTATTTACTAATATAACTTTCAAGAAATTTTTGAGAATAATCTCCTTCCTCAATCTTTCCCGATTTCACTAACTACTATGGAAATCATGGACGATGACAAGGATGAAGAGTTGACTTTTTTATACCGGTGAATGATATTTGATATTAAGAATCAAATTTCAGTATTTTATTCTAATAACATAAGTCTTGGTTTCAGTCTTATACCCGGTCGGAGTACTTCATCTTGGGGCACATTTTGTGCTACACTAGCCGGTGTTCCCCCTAATATTGTTAAAAGAGGTGAATCTTTTTTAATATTTATTTTATACACTTTATTATATCCATTTGTAATATTAATTTATTGTTTCAATTATCAACCAATCCTTGAGTGAAGCAACACATTTATCTCACCTTTTTTCTCGATACGAATCTATCCCACCGCCTTTCGTCAACGATCATGAACGTCGTTTGTATGCTACCTGCGAGCAAGTGGCAAGAAAATTCTTGGAATTGGATCTAGAAAAAGCGGATACAGACATAAATAATTTTCTGGAATGGGTAGGCAGAGAATGTGGATAAAACTCAATGATATGTAATAGTATCGATGTGTTATTAATTAAAAAGCGCGTGGCATGATACACAAAAAGCATGATAAATTAGCTGTCAGAAAGTCAATTAATTTACTACCGAATTTTTTTTTTTTGTCGCAACCTGCACTGCCAACTTGTCATAAACCAGAATGCTATAAGACCATGTTGCAAAACAAAAGTAATGTTGCCGTTGTTACGTTTTATAAATATATGACATATATATCGAAATCAACTTCTACTTTGCTTTAAATGGTCCCTAATTTTAGTATGTTTAAAGACCTTTAATCAAGGCGGAACGGCGGAATTGGCCTTTTTAATCAGACCCTAAATTAATCATTTTAAGGGTAATAATAATAACGGATATCAGTTTAGGGTTCAAATTCAGATGATCTAAATAAAGGTCCAATTCCGCCAATCCGCCGAAATGATATTTAATTTGATTTATGCGTTTGTATAAACTTCTTTTTTACCCCATGTATTTTAAATGTCAGTTGCAAAATTTAAATTTTATTTAATCTTCTTATTCAACGTGTTTGCTAAAAAAATTTTTGTTAGGTTTGTTATAATGATTTTAAAGTCAGCAGCTACATTTTAAATTAATGTTTTAGTATCCTAAATTGAACCTGATTTAGGCTCAATTTTCGGATTTTGAACCTAAATCAGGATCCTTTGAAACGGGAGCCAGACATTTCTGAAAATTCGTAGAGTATGGCTTGAAGGCTTTCACCTCGGTTCTCTCAGCTCCAGCCAATTATTATTATTCCCAAAATCTATAGCTTAACCAGATTGGCGGAAAAATCATTGGGGCAAATTTTCACAAGTGTCTCAGGAATTATAATACCATGCTCGTCTTTTAGGTAAGCATTGGTTTATCCAAGTACAGTATTTAAATAAGCATATTCGCGCTTATTAATATTTACTATTTAAACTTATTATTTGGCTAATTTAGCATGAGGTTTAATTCTATATTTTCGGCAAACCTTAGGATTTGATTAGGCGTAAATTTAGCCAATCGTATGAATTTCTTATCACAAATGACCGGGTCAACCGGGTTACTTGAGTCACTTTACAGTTTTCATAAATTCAGAACAACTGAAAAAACTGTCGACTACCGAATTGATAAGTTACATAGTCGGAATCAATAAGCAACAGATTCGAGCGAACTCAGAAACTTATCGATTCGAATTTATGTAAATAATCTGGAGCTTAAATTTTATATGGGTACAACACCTCTAATCACGGGTTAACATGTAATAAATAGTTATCTGATTTAGTAAATAGTTATCTGATTTAGAAAGGATTGACAAATTCTTTTGTTGTGGTGATCTTTAATGTTATTATCAATTAATCTGGCCAGTAAAAAATCCGGCAGCAGAAATGAAAAAAATGTTGAAAATTACAAATAGTAGTTAGTAAATATAGGATGAAGTACTCGAAAATGGAAAAATTTTCAAAGGTTTAATGTACTTTGAATGATCTTTCATAAAAATAAAATTTTAGTATACTATTAATGTTACTATTGCAATTACAATTGCGATTTATAATTATTAATTATTAATAGAGATAGCAATTTACCAGTGCAATTATTTAAAAACACGAGGACTTTTTCTCGAGTAGATCTTGCCAAAAAAGAGTATACGTGGCAAGTGTTTTGATAATCTATGATCGGGGTTTTTATTATTACTTGCGTTGCTCAAGGTATTATATATGGAGTTTCTGTATTACTATTTACAACTTATAACAATGTTAATTAATACGTAACAATGTTAAAATTAATAATTAATTAATTAACATATTCTTAAATAGGCAGTATAAATTTTAAAGTACGTGGTACAAAGTATTCTTTTTCTAAATTCAGAAAGTTATACAGCAATTCTTTTTTTGGTAAAAAAAAAAAGCAATGTAATACAAATCATATGATAAACTAGTTAAAAATTGTATAAAAGCTCCAAATCCCCAGTATCGCTCAAATTCTGGTATATCACGTGCCTGTGGTCGAACCACCCATAAAAGTCCCGTATTTAGGAAATATACCATAAAGAAATTCCATAGTTCATCTATTGGTTTAGCCAAGGTCCGTATTGCTTTAAATTCTTCAAATGATTGTATTCGATTACCTAAATAATTAAATGATGGAAGATTTGTAAGATTGCGTAATTATTAACAAATATTCAACCAAGTCATAAATATGATTCAAGTAATAATTGAATCCAACCATAATGAATAATTAAAAATTAATAGCAAGTTACTATACATACAAAAGTAATTCATATTGAATCTAGAATTTCCTTCTGTCGGCAAATCTTTAAGTTCTTTGGAGATTTCTTCCACTGTTGGACGCTTATCTGGATCATAATCCCAACATTTTTCATAAAGTTGGAAGTATGGGTATGGTGTACCTTTAACAGGTATTTCCCTGTTTCCACCGATTATGTAACCGGGAATGCCAAGGTTACCAAGTGATTGAAACGGTGGTCGACCACTTGAAATTTCCCAAAGAATTATCCCAAAGCTATAGATGTCAGATTTTTTGTTACGCTTGTAAGATGGGTTTGCAAAGCATTGAGGATCAATATATGCCAACATCCCATAAGAATTAGAAGTTGAGGTTACTGATGACTCGTGTTTCGATAAGCCAAAATCTGAAATCAACATTTTTGCATCATGAACTAGAATATTCTTGGAGTGCTGGAAGAATGTTATTTGTTAGCAAAGCTTTTAAAAATTATTATGATTATTCGAATAGCATAAGGTACTTATGTGATTGAGTTGTTATATAAAATTTTTTGTTAACAAAATAAATAAACTAATACTTACGAGATCTCGATGAATAATTTCTTTACTATGTAAAAATTCAAGCCCACTAGAAATTTCACGGGCTATTCGCAATTTGTCAGTCCATTCAAGATTTGAAAAATTGTTTTCTAAATATTCACGTAAATCACCATTATTTGCAAATTGTAAAACCATATTATAGAATTCATTTGAATGATCTATTTCAGTATGGAAATAATTTTTATTTAATGTTAAATAGCCGATAAGGAAAATTAAATAAGTGCTAATCTGCAAAAATCTGCAAAATGCAGAATTTTGCATAATTTGAAATTTTGCACAGAATTGTATTTAATTTCTGTGGCTATAGTTGAAGTTTTGCGCAGATTTTCATCTAAATTTATTTAATTTTTTGCAACTCTGCGCAGAACTGCATTAAAAAACATTTTCTGATGTTATTTTCCACTAACCTTGAGTGATTCCGTAAAATTCAATAATATTTGGATGTTTTTTATCGTTATGGCCGCAAACCTCTTGTAAGTTCTTAAGCTGAATACAGTATAATGATTATGTATATTTATTTTATTCTTACATCAGTTCTTGTAGAAATAACGTAATTTCTTACCTCTTTAACAAATTTTTGAATAGTCTTATATAATATTTAATTTTTTAAGAGCAACGGTTGTTCCGTCAGCCTTTCTTCTTGATTTATGTACAGTTCCAAAACCTCCTTTACCGATTTGTTCAAAACCAGAGAATTCAGTATAATCATAAGACTTAATGTTCCCTTCACGAATTTCATTTTCGAGCCATTCTTTTAAATGTTCCATATTCTAATGATTCTTTATATGTTGACTAAATAATAAAAATTTAACTGTTGTGGTGTGTATAAAAAACAACTACTGAACTAACGATAAATGACTTTCTTAACCAAAGTGATACAAAAGTTACATTAATAGTATTTTTGATTAATTCATTTACCACATGCTCGTATAATGTAACAAAACAGCCATCTAACGACGTAACTCGATGAATATTTTGAATTTACAAAAGTGATGGGGATTCTATAGAAATTTTTTCATTTCGTTTCTATATAATAGTATAATTAAAATAAAAAAATTTCATTAATTTTGGATAAGTGGTTGACGAGATATATTCGCTCAAAGCTTGAAAAAAAACATAACTGCGGCAAGTTTTTTTTTCAAACTTTAAGCGAAGATATCTATCTAAAATCGAAGATTCAATAAAAAAAATTTTTTTCGATTTTATAAAACTGTGATTAAAATAAAGAAATTTCACTAATTTTAAATAGATAGTCGTCGAGATGTCTTCGTTCAAGATTTGGAATATTTTATTTCGACTAAAAATAAAAAAAAAACTTAGATCATTTCAAAACAAGCCACAACAAAGTTTTTTTCCAAGGATATCTCAATAATAACCTATCAAAAACATCAAAAATTTTTATTTGATTTTATAACTATATCAAAGAATAAGTTGTCGGAAGACTTCGTTGCGACTTGTGTTGATATTTATCTATTTCCTAAACTTTGAACGAAGATATCCCGATACCACCTATCCAAAATTGATAAAAATTTATCAATTATAGATGTTTTCGCTCAAACCGTCAAAACAGAAGTCGTGGTAAATTTTTTAACTTAATCGGAGATATCTCGTAGTGTTCCAAGCTGATTTTAACCAACCGCTTAGCTTTTTAGTTGGCTAATAGTTTTATCAGTCGGCTAATCATGAAAATTATACATATTAAGAATGTGCAATACCTAAGTAGCTTAAATCATTTTTATTAATTATTTACTCTTTTGATGTATAATTTTCTAAAATGACGATTTAGTATTTGTTAACCCTAAACTTAACAAAATTTAAAATAAATTGACAGTTTATATCGATGTGGCTCTCATTCACTAATTATTAGCTAAGCAGATAAGTCAATAAAAATTTAACACCTTAAAAATTAATTACCTTGAATCTACTAGTACTACAGTATGTTAACACAAATGACTTTCAAGTTTTTTTTTAATACGTAGTATTAAGCTTTGTACGTACAGTACTGCAATACTTAACGTTACTGGTTATGATATATTGCTTAACCAAATGTGCTACATTCAACATTCAATAAATCATAAAGCATATAACGTTTTGGATATAAAACTAGCTATTATTTTTTTTTCTAGTATCCACGGGACAGACGCAGATATTAGTAAATATATAAACTAAGTTCAAATAAAATTTTTTTC